CACACACACACACACACACGTACCCTACACACACTCTCTTCGAGTTGTGTGGCTGATACATGGGAAAGGTACTGGTGGTTTCACCACTACAGCCAAAATGCGGCGTTTATTCGAATTTTGAAAAGAGAAAACTCATGTACTCCAATAAAATTACTTTTTTTTTTTTTTTTGGAGGTCAGCAGTTGCCCTTGTGCTCCCCACTACTGACATGATGCATGCTGCAGCTCTCTCTCTCTCTCTCTCCCTCTCTCTCTCTCTCTCTCTCTCTCTCTCTCTCACACACACACACACACACACACACACACACACACACATATACCCAAAAAAATAGAGGATAGTAGTATATATATATATATATATATATATACATTTTTTAAATCATATATATATTTGTATAAATATAAATATATATTAAAAAGATTCTTAGCCTTCAAACCCAGAACTACTTCTTAAGGCCACTCTCATAAAAAGGCACAGTGAACCCCCTCATAACCGGACCCCGATTACTTGAAAACCCCAAAAAAGAGGAGCCTGCGACTTTTGCGGACGGACCGGCGGCACTCGGACAGCCATTCTTTTACTACTTAAGAACGAACCATCATTGCCAATGTCCTCAATTTCCACGTTGTCGAAACGCCAACGCCAAGACGACGGAGTGAAAACCCCGTTACTCTTCGGCGGGAAGCGCATCGACGAAAGTCAGGCATCCTTTGGACGTATCGAGGTCGACGCGAAGCCTCCCCGCGCCCATCGAACCACCACCTCTCTCCCTCTCTCCCTCTCTCCCTCTCTCCCTCTTTCACTCTATCTCGTCCTCGCCCTCTTTTTTCCGCACACACATACACACACGCACACTCTCTCACAGATCTCCGACCAAAAACTCAACTGTCCTCGGTAATCATCTTCACGTTTCGGAATTCTCGTCACGGTACTCTTTGGCTAATCAACCACATCTTTGGCATCTGGAGAAATGAGCGTCGCGTCTTCATCCGCAGCAGGAGTGGTAATAAATCCCTTACCCACAACCTCTCAACTTCCAACTTATTCTTATATTATTTTTTCCCTTTCGGAGCGCTAACTCGAGGATGCATACTCCCCCTGATGAGTCGATCTGATGGATATCGGCGAAAAGATCTTTGAGAAATTTCCATCAAATCCGTCTTTGTTGCGACGGCAATTTTTGAGCCGCTTGGCCGAAATGGGATATTCTATTCTTTTCCCCCCCTTTTTCTTTCCTTCTCTTTTCTTCTTCTTAAATTCCCTCACTATGATTGTTGATGTTGCTTAGCCGTTTTCATGCACTTTGTATGATTTGCATGTATGGCTGGATGCTGTGTTCGGGGCGGGTTGTGGTTTGACCATGGGTAGGAACTTGTGAAGACCTTCAGACAAGGCAGCTGAGCAAGGCCGCATGGAGTCACACTGCTCACATTGTTCCTTGCATATATGGCCTATGTAGCAACTCTGAACGTCTCTCACCATCGTATCGTATGCTGCTGCCAGTTTCCTTCTGCTCTCAACGCTTCTGGATTACAGACGGTTCAGCGGAGGTGGCCTGCGTGAATCATATCTTCTAGGCCACCATGGATACGTTCCGATAGATGCTCCACACTTTTGTTTTTTCGGGACTTGTCTTGATCACTCCCATATGCATTCTGACACTCTCCATTACCCTAGATGCATATCGTCCTCCTACCCCATTGCAGATCTGCCCTACCCCTGACCACCCCCCTCTTCATGATCCTGCCTTATCTCGCATCTTCACCCTCACTATCTGTGCTGCTTCCTTGGCCTATGCCTTCTGCGCCTTGACCCTACAGCTTCCAGTCATCAACAAAATGCTTCCAATGATGCCACTGGATAGGGGGCACGACGCTGGATTATTCATACTCATGGGCACATATAACTATGTGTAATGTGTACTTGTGAGTTCGCAATGGAACTTGATAATTCGTAGCATAGCCTTATTTTCGTTTGGTTGGAGAAAAAGCTATGTGACGATCATTCCTGGAAGGGAACCCCACTTGTTTTTTGTTTTTTTTTGTTTTTTTTAGATTTTTTTTTATTTTTGTGATTGAGAGCAGACTCTGGATAGTCATTCGACGTGCTTTTCATTCGATTACGAGTGCAAGTAAATACGATGCATGACACAGAGGTAGCTGTACTTGTAGAACCTTGCTTGCATAAAATGAATTTTGTGTAACTTGTCGAGAAGCTCGGTATTTCATAGCATAGCACAACCGTACTTTCCTTTGACGAATGGCTCTAACGATTTGTGATGACTTTATATGTTTGGGAATTAAGAAAGTTGATATGATGGCTTGAATCTATTGACGCATCCTTTATATGAGTAAATTCCTGAGTTTTCGTCACTTTCTAAATTGTGCATGATCAATCCTCTTCTTCTTAAATCCATCCAAGAGTGTGCTCTCATTTAAATCTCGTAGTAATTTCAAGGATGGATGATGCTTAATTCGTATTTCTTCCCTTTCTTTCCTTTCATGTTGTCTGGCTTTGGCATATGTCAGTTGTATACTAAGAACTTCGTAGTGGATCGCAACAAAAAAAAAGGGGAATATCCCAACGATCTTATCGGCTCGTGTATATGACACAATCGAGGTAGATGCATGAGTGGATCACGTGCCTTGGTGAACAGTATTCACATGACAATTAAGTGCGACTCGCTGCGGTTCTCCCCGCGGTAGCGTCATGATTCATCTAAACACACGCATTATGGGGGACTTTGTCCACCCTTGTTGCTATCAGGGGGGTTGACTCCAACCTGTCAAGCCGCAAAAATAGCATGTGAAATCCGTACCAACTTTGATCCGTCTATGACTACTGGTATTGTGTGCTGTAAGTCATTTTATTGCTAAAACGTTCTCTCTCTTTTTGTGTGTCCAATTATGCTTTGTATGCTCATGGCAGAAACCGAAATTCACTCCAAATGGATGGTACTCAGACCTGGTACAAGAGGAGTTATCTTGGTTGGATCAATTCGGAGCCCTCACGTCCGACGCAGGCCTTAATTGCCCTCGCCGGTCCCAAGGTCTTGGAATTTATCAGGGCCAATTCTCTTCATGCCCCCCCACCTCACCCACCCCTTATTGATGTCCTCTCCTTTAATGATTGGGCGGATATCTTATGGATAGCTACTCATGATAGGACAGTTTTTCCTCAGTTTTCCCGTGATCTGGTTGAGAACGCCAAGGATACCATGACTGAGAATCTCTTAACACAGATGACCATCAGGGACGAGCTAGCCATGAAGGAGAAAGTTTTTATCGATTTGTGGGGTGCGAAGTCGGAGTTCCACGAGTCTTTAGTCAATATCCCAGTTTATGAGCAGGTCGAGTCTGAGCCTGAAAATGAGGATGATGAATTCCCCCTAACCGAGGAAGAACGACTATTTCATCATGCCACATTAGCAGAGTCTAGAGCTCAGTTGGCAACACAAATGGCGCAGGAGAAGACTGGGGAGGTAAATAAGTTTTTTCAAAGTGCTTTTCTCCCCCTTGCCCCATCTCAGTGGATCGAGTCGGAGGCCAGTAGACTCAATGATAAAGTCTGGGACCTTGAAACCTTCAACCATCTTGCTCCCATCAGTATCAATGCGTATAGGTTTCTAGCTTCCCTCACTGATCAGGAGATGGAGTTATGTGAGGAGAAGGCGCTGACGGAGAACATTGAGCTCGTTAAGGGGCCCTACCCCTTGACGGTGGGAGCAATGAAACTCCCCAAAGTAGGACATTTTGATCCGCTTAAGTGCTCAGTTTCAACCAGCCAGCTTGCGATCCGAGGTTTTTGCCAGCTCAAGGGGCAAGAGGCGCTGTCAGAGTTGAAGAAGATCTGGAATGTCGGTCGTCCCTATCTTAAATGCAGATGTGTGGAAATGGGTCTGACAGACTGCAAAACCAACATCACCTGGTTCGACCAGGTGCTGTGGTACTTGCTGGCTAATCTGGAGTACTTGTTCCCACCTGCTCCATCTTTGCGCGCTCGCAAAAGGGCCATGAGGAATTTCATGAAGACCACCTGGAGAGTTCCAATCCTTACTTCGGTGGTGTTTGCTGAAATGCGGCACATCATGCAGAAGATGGCGAAGAGCGTTCTTGACAATCCGGCGAGAAGGCAGGAGACAATTCTGGACGACCAGGCCATCATGACGAGAAAATTCCCGAGGAAAATGACAGCGCTCATTCTTCCGTACAAGTATATCAGATCTCCGAAAAAGCGCCAGCAAGTCTGCAACGACGATCAACGACGGACGAAGCGGAAGGACAACACGATCCTGTCTTACTACGTGAGACCTGAGGTTGCGGCCAACAAGGCCAACAACGCGAGTGCTTCGCAGACTCCCGAATCTGACGCGGAACCCTCTCCTATCCCTGCATGCAACCTACCGCTGGAATGCACTCCGCAATCCACCATTACCACTCAAGTGGAAACTACCAGCTCTACTGTCTCAAGGCCCATCAGGCGCAGCCCAAGGACCCAAACCATCAAATCCCTCTTTGGGAAGTAAAAGGGAGCTGCCTCCGCAAAAAAATTCTCGCTTTTCACTCCTGGTTGGTGTATGCAAGGCAAGGAGGGCCAGCTTGGATGCGACGAAACTGGGCGATGGAAGTGGAATAAAGCAGAATCAGCAAAAGTTGATCTTTATGTTCACATCAAGTAATCAAGCCGAGCAATGGAGGCCGTGCGTTTCAAACCACTGATTGAGAGGGTGTTCGACATGTTCTTTACGCCAGCCGCCATTATCCTTTTGTCTACAATCGTGATTGGATGGACCTACACTCAGTCCCTTGAGTCCACGGTTTATAGACCAGCGTCGGTTTTTAGGGATTTTATCCTAGCAGAATGGTTAGATTACTGTGGAGTAATGGCAGGATGCCCTTGTAATATGGCTCGCTTTCGAAATTTTCATCTTCCATCCACGATGGGCATGGCGCAACCTTTTTCTGAGCACTCCTCTCACGTGTTAACTCTTGATCAATCCATATCACATAACCATGTTGTGCAATCCTTGTTTAAAAGCGGTCTCAACCATATCCCTCTGTGATACATACCTGGAGCAGAGCAGGTTCGAATGGCTTCATGACGGTGTATCCTCTCATTAACCAAGCGAAAGATTCATTCTTGACTTGCCTGCTATAACAGGCAAGCGTCTCTTTCTCTCTCTCGCACACACACACACACACACACACACACACACACACACACACACACACACACACACACACACACACACACACACACACACACACA